ATATTGCAGGCGGCCTGAATTACACTTGCAGACAGCAAACAATGGTAAGTTATTCAAGCCCAAAGCAAGTTACACATTCACTTTGGAGGAAAGACGGCAGATTTGTGATTGGGTAACGAAATTGAAGATGCCTGAGGGTTATGCATCCAATTTTGGAAAAAAAGTTGATATGGAGTAGGGAAGTTGAGCCATTTGAAAAGTCATGACTGTCATGTTTTCATGGAGACCTTAGTGCCTATTGCGTTTTCTGGTTTGCCTGAAAGAATCTGGAAACCTATCACTGAGATTAGTTTGTTTTTCAAAGACTTGTGTTCTTCCACATTAAGGGAAGAAAACCTACGCCGGATGGATCAGAACATTCGTGTAACTTCGGGTAAGATGGAAAAGATATTTCCATCTGGGTTTTTTGATGTGATGGAACACCTTCCAATCCACCTTGTACACGAGGCACGACTTGGAGGGCCTGTTCAATGCAGATGGATGTATCCCTTTGAGAGGTAATATTATAGTCCATATATAATTTTCTATTTTATTTGAATGTTCTTGGCTAACCTGAAATTATGTAGGACAATTGGCAAATGCAAACAATTTGTTAAGCAGAGGAATAGAATTGAAGGATCTAGAATTGAAGGATCTATATTATTTTGAGAGTAATGTGCCATGTGCTAGGAATAGGCCCAACAGGCACACGGTCGCCCTTACGAATGATCCATTATATCCGCCTATGTCCATATTCAATCAACCAGGCCGATGTTCTAAGGATGGTAGAAAGAGAAATTTGAGTGATATGGAGTTCAAGTCAGCTACACTTCATGTGTTGCTAACTTGTCCCGAAGTAGTATCATTTCTCAAGTAAGTATTGATTTAATAGTTATCAAAATATAAAATTTACTGTGATTACATCTCAATGCAACTACTAAAAATATTTGATGTGTCACAGTCACTTCGTGGGTCAATTTGGCCAAGATGTTATATATACGGCATTTGATAAGTGGTTCAAACAATTTGTAAGTATATCCTTAAAATATTCTAACACTATGTAGGTAAACAATGTTTGGAAGTTATGCTAACTTATGAATTTTGTTAACAATATGTAGGTAAATGATCCAAGTAATGATGTAAATCAATTTTTGAAAGATATATCTTGGGGACCTGGTGTTGAGGTCACAACATATTCCAAGTACGTTGTGAATGGTTATAAGTTTCATACAGAGGGTTGCTCTAAAAATAAAAAAAGCAACAACAGTGGGGTGTGGGTTCAAGATGGTGATGACAACCAAGTTGGAGATATTGATTATTATGGTGTGCTCAAAGAAATAATAGAACTAGAATATTCAGGTTGGCCATTTAAGAAAATTATTCTCTTTAGATGCAAGTGGTTTGACCCAAATCCAACAAGAGGTACGAGAGTACACAATCAATACAACATAATTGAGGTTAATCATACGAGGGAGTATAATCCCTATGATCCTTTCATAATTGCATATAATGTTAGGCAAGTGTATTATGCTCCTTATCCATTGAGGCAGAATAAGTCCGATTGGTGGGTTGTAATCAAAACTAAGCCTGTAGGTAGGGTCGAAGTCGAGAATGTGTTGGATGTTGCATATCAAAACGATATCTCCAGTATTCACCAAATAGTGGACGAACTTTTAGAAAATGATTTGGAACATCCTGAACACATATTGGAAGAAGTTGATATAAATGAAGTAAGAATTATAGAAAACGAGGAAGAAGAATCAACTGATGAAGCTCAAACTAGTGAGGAAGAAGAATTCTCTGACGAGGAAGAAGAATTCTCTGACAAGGAAGAATACGTCGATGAGCTTTAAAAAGTTGGTTTCTTCAATAACTCTCGTTTATAGATAGTTTCCTTATATGTTTCAATCTAAGTATGTATTATATTATGCAGATGACATGCAAGGGTCGAGGTAACAATGAAGGTAGTGGTTCTCGGGGTCGAGATAAGGCTAGGAAGCAAAAGAGGAGGGTAGAAGATACTACTCATCAATCTTTTACACCCTCTTCTGATTTGCCTATCACTATGCCACAACCTCTACCCCATGGCTATACTGAGCTGCCACAGCATCACCAGCCCTACACCTTCGTGCAGACCCCGGGTGTTTCTTCACAGGGCCATCGGACTGTGCGTCCGACATACATTCCACCTGCCTCACTACCACGTGGATCCCACCCAGCAGCATCACATGGATCGCATCGATCCATGTCACAGCCACATGGATCACAGCCATCAGCGTCACAGCCAGTCGGGTCACAGCAGTCAGTATCACAGCCACTTGCGATCCGTGCAGCTATGTCGCAGTCACAGGGATCACATCTATCTTCATCAGCGACTCCACCTATTGGAGGCCTTCGTTTGCAGGATAGTAGCTCTGACCCCCCTACTCCTTCCACACATGCCTTTGATACACATGTTTTGGACGATGATGCTGATGCTGCTACTGCTGCTGACGAGGAGGTGCATTATGATCAGTATGACAGGATCATCATAGTCCCTGAGGGTGATGGGTAAGAGTTATTTGTTATTTTTATGTTTATTTTTTTGTACAATTTTTACTAAGATATTAATTTGTTTTATTTATTAAATTGCAGGTTCCTCCCGAGTAATATTACTACGAGGATAATCACCAAAGCAACCAGAAAGCTTTATGATGCCCCTTATGCGTCTTGGCGTGAATTCCCATTCTCACTGAAGGAGGCAATTTTCAATGAATTTAAGGTATAAATGTTCTTTTAAGCAGTATAATTATTTATATTTATGATATTTTCATATAATATTTAACTTTTGAAATACAGAGCAAGTGTGTATGGGAACACCAGTATAGCGCGGACGTGGCTGCAAATTTTAATCTCAAAGCTCGCAAGCGGTTGTCGCATTCTTTCCCATAGCTAGACAGCTGAACCAGAAGCCTGGCTGGTTGCTTCAGGAGTTTTGGGATGATTTGCAAAGGCAATGGCTTACTGCAGAGTTCTTACAGAAGAGCGAAAAGGGAAAGAAAGCTCGCGCATCTGAGAAGGGAGGATCCTTGCACACTGGAGGTGCGGTCAGCCTGGGGACAATAAAAAGAAGAATGGTACGTAATTGCTTAATTTATTTTAATTTTCAAAGTATATCTATTCTATTTATTAATTAAAATTTATGAGTTTTCAGGAAAAGAAGTTGGGCCGTCAGATGAACCAAGATGAGCTATTCAAGGAGACTCATATTGTGAAGAAGAAGAAAGAGACGGATGAAGAAAGGTGGGTCGAGGGACGAGCCTCGACTGTACATGTAAGTTTTCACTTTTCATTAAGTATTTTCATTTACTTTTATATAAATTTTGAAATACTAATTCAATTTACTTTTTCTTATAGGATCGCTTCAGAGTTGAAGCTGAGGAATTCATACGCAGCCAGCCACCTAATGAGTCGGGCGCGCCATTCAAACTTTCGGCCGAGGATGTTGAAAGACTATGGACGCGGGCTGCAGGCGGTCCAAAATGGGGGAAGGTATACGGCCTTCCTACTAAGACATTCCATCGCTATAGGTGTGGAATGCAAGGAATAGGGACTTCCTCGCAAGCCGAGCAACTTGATGGGGAGAGCCTCTCCGCTATGCGGGAGACTGTGACAAAGCTCACATCCGAGCTAGAAGCGTCCAAGGAAAGAGAAAAGCTTAGAGATGCTCAGTACATTGGCGTGGTCGCTCAGTGCCAGGGCATGCAAGAGCAGATCAAAAATCTCCTAGCTGGATCTTTTTCGATTCCCCGGTCTCGGCCATCATCGCCAGAGGCTGCCCGTCCCCGTGCTCGTTCGTCCCGTCCTCCAAGTGGCCGTTCCTCCCGTCCTCCCCGTGATCATTCTTCCCGTCATCGACAAATAGACCCTTCTCAATACCGTGATGATGATGAAACTTCATCAGAGGGTGATGATAATGATGTACCAAACAATCAATGAATTTTAGACAATTTGAACTAGACAAATACAATTTGTTTTCCATTGGGTTGTAATAAGAGTTAACTTAGTTTGGTAGTTCTATTGAAATTTACACTTTCTTGGTTTTAATGTAGCTTTTAATGTTGTTTTTGTGTTGTTGTTGTTGTTGTTGGGTTGTTGTTTGGTATTCTTATTGGAATTGTTGTTTGAATTGTTGTTGTTGTTGCTTGTTAGGGTTTTGGTATGACTGGCAGGTGGTGTAGCTGCCAAAACAGGCAGTTTCTGCCAAAATAATACACAGAAAAGCGACCAACTTTGGTCTCTATTTGGTCGCTTTTCACGTTCAAAAAAAATAAATTTCTGGAGAATAGCGACCAACATTGGTCGCTATTTACCCAGATTTCTACAAAAAGCGACCACACTTGGTCGTTATTTCATTAAAAAAAATAAAATTTCTGGTGATATAGCGACCAATAAAGTATAAAAAATAAATTAAATTCATGTATTTAGGGACCAAAGTTGGTCGCTAGTTTAATAAAATAAATAAATTATTGAATAAAAAAGCGACCAACCTTGGTCTCTAGTTTCCAGATTTTAAAATATAATATTTGGATTAGAGACCAAAGTTGATCGCTTCTTAATGATTAATAATAAATAAATAAATAAAGTATTTTATATTTAGAGACCAACTTTGGTCGCCAAATTTATATTATTAAATTAATAAAGCGACCAAAGTTGGCCTCTATAGTCAATATCCGGAATATTTGGTCCATTTAGCTTAGAGACCAAAGTTGGTCGCTAATTAGCGACCAACTTTGGTCCCTAAATAAAAGAGACCATCAATATAGCTACCAGGTCCGTTTGGTCGCTTTTTGGTCGCTTTTTAGCCTAAAAGCGACCAACTCTGGTCGCTTTTTGCGGTCGCTTTTAGGCGGATTTCTAGTAGTAATCTATATTTTATACGATTAGGTAGTACGGTAATATGATTGATATTTAAATGTAAATATTTTAAGGTACGTAGCTGTCTAGCCATACCATTACCCATTATTTATATTCCCTCGTATCAATATATATTCAGTAGCAAATAAGAAGAGATAATTTTTGTTGATTATTTGTTCTTGAGCTTCATATTTTTGGTGAGAAAATGGCAGAAGAAGTGATTCTGTTGGATTGTTGGTGCAGTATGTATGGGATGAGGGCAAGAATTGCACTTGCAGAAAAAGGTGTGAAGTATGAGTACAAAGAAGAGGATTTGAACAATAAAAGCCCACTGCTTTTGGAAATGAACCCTATTCACAAGAAAGTCCCAGTCTTAATTCACAATGGGAAATCAATTTGTGAGTCACTTGTTATAGTCCAATATATTGATGAAGTTTGGAAAGGAAATGGTCCATTGATTCCTTCTGATCCTTATGAGAAAGCTCAAGCTTGGTTCTGGTCTGACTATATGGCCAATACCGTAAGTCCAAAATTAAGAAACTAATTATTCTTTCTCTTTCTTTATTTCTTTATTTTTTCAAATTATTTAGCATACTTGACTAATGGACACAAGGTTAGTTTAAATAAGAACTAAAAAATAATATTTTTAACGGTTGTGTTTGGGTCAACTTGTTCGAACACCCCGATTGTTTTATCGGATGCCTATTATCTTCCATCAGTGCAAGTATCGAGTAACCCCGTCCATAAAAATCTAGACAAATGAGAAGAAATCACTTCCAGTAATATTATTTTTTTTTTTGGTTGGTTTCTTAACTCTGGTCTCTGACGACTAAAAAACAATCTTTTACATATAAACTACTATATTTATAAAATACCAAGAAAAATACCCTTATGTCAAATAATTTGTTATTGTATTCCGTGAGACTACAATAAATCATGTCCTTCTCAACATAAAAAAGAAAAGAAAAGAGAATACTTCATTTTCCTAAGTTTTAATGTAGGAATATTGTGTAAATAATGCAGGTACATGAATATGCAGTGAAAATATGGTCAACAAAAGGAGAAGAGCAAGAACAAGCAGTTAAGGACTATTTAGGTGGACTTAAGTTGATAGAGGGAGTACTTGGTGACAAGCCTCATTTTGGAGGAGAAAACTTTGGATTTTTGGATATTTCTTTAATTGGTTTCTACAGTTGGTTTCTTGCGTATGAAACTTTTGGCAAGTTTAGTGTAGAGAAAGAATGTCCCAAACTTATTTTATGGGTTAAAAGGTGTTTGGAAAGGGACAGTGTCTCTAAAACTCTTCCTGATTCTGAGAAAGTTTGCGAGTTTGCCTATGAGTTTGGAGTGGAATGAAGAGAGATACAGAACGGAAGTTAATGAATTCAAAATGTTGGTGATAAATGTTTTTCCTCTGAAAAATGTCTCTTTGTTGGCTTGGGTTTAAGCCTGGCTTTTCACCTATGTAATAAATGTTCTTCCTTTATGATGGGAATGGATGGATCTTCTAGTATTTCTGTCAACAAGTAAAAACAGTGTAAACCTATTCTCTAAACCTATTCTCTCGCATGTTCAACAATGTCAAGATCTTGCATTTTTTTACTCTTCTTGTTCGGGATCCTCTAGAAGGCTTGAACTTCCAATCAGATTGATTTCATATATGATTACTCAACTTTAATTTTATTGCATGAAATTACTAAAAAAAATTGTAACGAGAAAAAATCACTCGACTTTATCTAAGACAAATAATTCTGTAACAAAAAGATCACTCAATTCAGCCTAGATACCATAGAAAGCAGGAATAATAACAACAACAACATCAACGACAAACCCAGTGAATTCCCACAAGTGGAATGTGGGAAGGATAGTGTGTACGCAGACCCTGGAGGACAAAGTAGTTATTTTTGATAAACTCTCGACTAAAGAAAAGAAGAGAAGAAATAATAACAAAATATATTTTTTTTCGCAATTATTTTCTGCGAATAATTTCTGACAAACTATAGTATTTATTACAAGAAGACTTCAATAGAACTCCAATTCTAGAGAACATTTATTCTATCAGTAGAATTATACATTTATTGGTTTAACAGAAACTATATATAGTAAAACTACTACTGATATTCGACATCAAGCAGAAACATAAACCACAGCAACACACACCTAACAATATTACCCTATTTTCAGCTGCTTCAAACGATTTTTCTAAGCAATGCCCAAACGTTGTTTCATCTGCAGAGCAAAGTCGTAAACCTTGTCTGATTCAGCAAGAGATTTGGCAACACTCTCCTTTTGCACACATCTCTTGGCCCATGCCACCAATTTTGGACACTTTGCTTCTATGTTAAAATTTCCACATTTTTCATAAGTAGGGAACCAACTATAAAAAGGAATTAATGCCACGTCCAAAAATCCAAAGCTTTCCCCACCAAAGTATGGCTTCTCTCCCAACTCTCCTTCCAACAATTTTAGGCAATCTATGAATTCTTTCTTGGCTGCTTCTTGCTCCTCCCCTTTTGTAGTCCATATTCTCCTTCCACTATCATATATCTGCATTTACCCCCAAAAAAAGAAAATCATTGTCACAACATCATTGTTAAATTTCTAGCTTTAAATAGGTGTATTTGAAGTTGAAGTTGAAAAAAATAATATATATGATGGAAAGTCTAAAGTTGTCTGGTATAAATTAATAATCACAATTAATATCCTAGGAAATAAAATAAATAAAACTACTATAGACCTGTTAAACTAAAATTAGTATTCCTCATGTTTTATTTGGTGAATGTTTTTGACTGACCATAAGTTGTAAGAAAATAAGAAAAAAATTAAAATTTATGATTTTAAACATGTCTTAACATTCTTGTGATTATAAAATTATATTATTAAAAATAAAAAATAAAAATTGTTATCGATATTAAAATGGCAACAATGGACATATTAAAAAGGAAAGAGTTTTATATAAAATATAAGAGACGTAGTAATTTATAATAATATATTTATGTGGCCACTAAGTCAAATCCTTTTAATACTCCCTTGTTTCAATTTATGTGTTTTTGTAGTTTGCTTAAAAAAATGATTCTTTATATATTTAATACGTAATTTTTGAACTCCTACTTTTCACATGCCATAATTAACATCACAAGATTCAAAGATATTTTAGTACATTATATATATTTTTAGTTTAAGACCACGTAATTTAAAAAAAAAAAAAATCTTACTTTCTTAAACTTCGTACTTGTTAAACTAAGAAACATAAATAGAAACGATTTCTTATAACTTTTTTAAACTTCGTACTAGTTAAACTAAGACACATAAATAGAAACGGAGGAATTGCCTTTTTGTCAATAAAATCAGCCCAGAACCTAGCTTGAGCTCTCTTATAAGGATCAGTGGGCATCAAAGGGGATTTATCCTTCCAAACCTCATCTATATACTGAACAATAATTAAGGACTCACAAACTGATTTTCCATTGTGGATCAACACTGGGATTTTCTTATGAATTGGATTCATTTGTAGTAGAAGTGAACTTTTGTTACTCAAATCTTGCTCCTTGTATTCATACTGAATACCCTTTTCAGCTAGTGCAATTCTAACCCTCATCCCAAACATACTCACATAGGCATCCAAAAGAACAACTTCTCCAGCCATTTTTGCTCCAAAAAAAATTGTGGTTGGAAATGGAACTGAGTTATTGAAATATATGTAACCAAATTATGAATACTAAAGCTGAAAATAAATTACCAAGTGATGGATGACTATAAATAGAATGATGGTGTCATAGGTTGGTGAGGCTTTATTGCGAGAAACTGGTGGATGGTTCGGTTAGAAGACATTCTTGGACTATCAAGAATGTCCCATATCTTTCTGGGAACTTCTCTTGCAATACTGTTAAATTGAAAAGGAGAAAAAGAAAGTTAATTGATGTCACTATCCTAAAATATGTGCCGTGTCTTTTTAGGACTTTCACGACATAAATAAACTATTGTTTTATTATTTGAGAAAATTTGATTTATTTCCTCAATATTTTGAATGTGTTGTCAATAATTTCTTTTGATTTTATTTACCACATAAAAATATAGTGAAGCTAAACCTTTTTATAACAGTTTTGTTTATTCCAATATTTTTTGGCTGCTACTGTTATAAAGAATATATATTATAACATAATATTAAAAACGGTTCCGTAGAAAACTTGGTTGAGAAGTGTTGTTACGAAGAATAATTGTTATAAAAAGAGGGTTAATTTCACTGATGGTCATTCATCTATCTTTCAATTTCAGTAAAGTCACTCAACTATTTTTTATCACTTAAAAGTAACTAATTTTTATCATTGTCACTTAAAAGTCATTTTGGCTCAAAACCCTACCATAAATATGACATGGCATAAACTTTAATGAGAAAAATTCAAAAATAAATGTCACGTAAGCTTAAATGGATCATACCCACTTTAGATCCATTTCTTCCTTAATGTGATTTGACTCATAACCCAAATGCTTTCAATAAAAAAAATATTAAATTTCACATTAGTTTAAAATAATTATCCTATACTATAAAATTCTTGCCTTTTCTGTTACATAATGCCCATTCATAATTGTTCTATACTAAAAAAAAATCTTATCTTGTTTGTATGCCCCATCCGAGTCGTTTTATAACTCTACTGAAGTTAAAATACTACTGTATCCAACTTACATAACATATTTATAATTTTCTAGTGAAATTAAAATGGTATTGTATTTATCTCACATAACATATTAATGTATCATAAGCATACAAGAATAATAATAAGGCTAATAAGAGTGTATTTTCACAATGAACATGCAATTACAGACAACCTATCGCAATTGTTTAGACAAAAGAAAGATTGTATTTGTACGATAAAAAACCCACAAATGAATCACAAGACCTAATTATTAGGGGTGTGTGTTTTTTCCCCCTATTGAAGCTTATTTGGGTTGTGGGTCAAATCACATTAAGGAAGAAATGGATCTAAAGTAGGTGTGATCCATTTAAGCTTATGTGGCATTTATTTTTGAATTTTTCTCATTAAAGTTTATGCCATGTCTATATATGGTAGGGTTTTGAGCCAAAATGACTTTTAAGTGACAATAATAAAGTTTAGTTACTTTTAAGTGCCAAAAAATAGTTAAGTGACTTTAGTGAAATTGAAAGATAGTTGAATGACCATCAGTAAAATTAACCCTATAAAAAGGTCTACCTGTACTACTTTTTGGGATTAATGTGATCTAATATAATTGATATCGATCTGCTCATGATACTTGGGAAACGGAACTTGATGCGCTTGTTTTTTCCGATAAGGACTAGTTAACTGGCGAGATTAAAATCACAAGTAATTTAACTCAACTAATTATATACTAATTCTTATCATCAAGAAAAGATAAGATGGAATGAGTGTGTGTAGACTATTCTTCAAGCATTATTAGACATAACTGTGCAATGGATTCCATACAAATACGCAAGAACATTGGAGAATATGGTATGACATGAATGTAAAGTCTCAAATGGAAAAAAGAAACATTTGGGCTTGTCCTCACGTTAATGAAGTTAGTAAAAATATGAGATGCAAAATTTATAAGGAAAAAAAAGGGGAAAATCTCACTTTATACCTATTAAGTCCAAATTATTTACCTTTTAATACCCATATTCAAACAATTTACTCTTCCTGCCCAATCGGCCTAATTTATTTACCCGGCCCCCCATTACGCGGCCCAAGTTACCCATTGTCAGCCTTATCTTCGTTCTTTACACTAGACTAAAGACCAGCCCACCTATTTCACCCGGCCCAAGCTTCCGTCTTCGTCCTTTAACGGTTAACACTATACTAAAGAGAACAGTTTTCAAATCTCCATAGCCAACACATGAAAACGCAAATTTTACCCACATTCGTGATTTTAATTTTTTCTTCCGATTCCTTTCTATCTCTTCGTCTAGTACCTATTTTTGGGTGAAATTTTTTCTTCTGAAAGTACATTTTAGTGAAAGTGGGTTTTCAAAATCATAGGATTTTTGTGTTTTTCTTTGTACTTTTGTGAATCAATGTCTATGGGTTGTTGTTTTCTCTATGGGTCGGAAGTATTGTGAGCGTAGATGGTGTCGCCGTGGACAATATCATTCTTCAAGACAAGTACCTGCTGAATCCGTTGCCTCAGCCATGTCTGGTCCTAGTTTTTCCTTATTTTCTGATTCTCAGTCTCTATTTAGTCGTAACCCTAGCAGTAGTCATGTTGAAAACACAACTGAAAATGTAGAATTAGAGGGTGGAAAAGGCAATAATATTAATGCTTCGTCAGTCGATGAAACTCCCTACCAGTCATTACCCGACACAAATTCCGAACCAGTCATAGGAGGTGTTCCTGTGACTGATAAGGGAAAAGGTAAAGTTGTTGAGGATTCTGAGTTAGGGGGAAGCCGACGTGAATCCGTGCCTACAACAGAGACTCAACCAGTAGATGTTGATTGTAGCGATGATTCTCAGTTAAATAAGAAAAAAATTGGTGCACCCAAGAAGGTAATTTTCTTACAATTATGATATGTGAGATTTTGAATGTATAGTACATTGTTATTTTTTGATTTCTTGTTATGCTTTTGT